AAATTATTGCCAAGACGAGCGAGCTTACGGCTCCTTAATCGCTACTAATCTCTTAGTGAACGATTAAGTGTGTGTGAATGTGTCCTAGAATAAACTAGATCTCTCTTAATTTATTCTATAAGCAATTGTAATTCTAGTGGCCATCTAGGTTACAAGATATATCAATTAAATTATTCAAACACAAATTAAACGTCATTCATGCAATTAAACTATCAAGAATTCAACCATACATCATGATTAACCCCTTCATCAATCCCAAATCCTTAATTAAACTACTCACAACTCATAATTGAAGAATCAACAGAATTGGGCTGAATAGAATTAATTTTCATTAATTAAAAAGATGAACTTACAAATAATCCCAGGGTCTTGGAGTAAGATAGCGGAAAACAATGAATAAATTCGTCCCTAGGCCTCTCCGTAATGTTCGTCACCTCCAAAAAAGGTTGGGATTCAAGTTCGCGTAACCCGGGGCTACGCACAGCGTGCGTCCCCCCCCCCCCCCCCCCCCCCCACGCACGGCCGTGCGTGGCTGGCAGTGTCTTCCTTGCTTGCTCGCCTCAGACGCACGGTCGTGCATTCCCCTACGCACGCGCGGCGTGCGTAAAACTTCCGAATTTGACAAAACCTCCTTCATGAAAGTTGTAGATAATGAAGTCTTCTATCCACCACAACTTGAAGAATGTGATTTGAATCATCCAATCAAAAGATATGAATAAAATGGTGGAAGGTCTCATTCTGAAATCGCATCAGGAATTATCTGACTTCATAATCTATTTTCATCTTGTTCCTCTCAGATTCTTGCAAAGGTGTCTTCATATGATTTGTAGCCCTTGAAGTTGGCTTTCATATGAAACTTGAATCGTGTTAGTTGTATGCTTCTACAAAGAGATATGCTTGACCGATTGACAGAAGGTCATCCTGATCGTCATTTTCAAGCTTCATTCATCTTCTTTTGACCCCATAGGCAATCCTAGAGCTCTTTTGTCATCAAATCTTCATCGTGAACCTCCCGGTGACCTCCAAAGCTCTCAAATCACTCTCGAATGCTTCTCAACTCGTCCGGATTGCTCCTCAAGTGCCGGTGCCGAACTCTAGATTCCTGGTTTTGACTCCAAATGACACAAAACTCGAACCAACGCCTGGTAAACATAACTTGAGCTAAAATTGAGACTTGTAACACCTTAAAGCTAGGAAAACCATCAAAGCCGACCCCAACTCGCATCAAATGCGTGTCTAAATACGGACTTATCGTGTATGTTAGGATTAAACACACACACACAATATGAAAAACGATAAGAAAACACAAGAGTTTGGTTACCCACTTCAGCAAAAATGACTACGTCTAGGGGCGCTACCAAACCAGGATGTTACTATTATTTTCTGATGATGATTACAATGAGAGAGCGGTATATAAAGAGAGTACAACCCTAACCCCAATAAGAAACTTGTGGGCTCATAATACAGTATCTACACCTTACAATCTCCCACCTTGAGACTGACTTCTCACGTAACCTTCTCTTCTTCAATTCTTCCAATCTTAGCGTGGTAGCGTCGGGCCTTCATCTTCAAGTACCAAGGCCAATTGAAGATATGCAAAGATTCAATTTCTTTAAGGTTACAACTTTAGTAAACATGTCTGCTAGATTCTCACTCTCACGAATCTTCACAAGTTGCAATGTCTTTATCTCCAGAAGATGACGGATGTAGTGATACTTCAACCGAATGTGTTTGGTTCTCTTATGAAATGCTGAGTTGTTTGCCAAGAAGATAGCACTCTGACTGTCACTGCAAAGTACGTTATTCTTGTACTCCTTTCCAAGTTCCCTAAGTAAATTCTGAAGCCACTCCATCTCCTTGCTCGCCTCAGTTATGCCACATATTCAGCTTCAGTGGTAGATAATGCGACAACCTTTTGCAAATGTAAAATCCAAGAGATCGATGTACCACCAAATGTAAAAACATAGCCGGTGGTGCTCCTCGATCCATTCGAGTCATTTGATGCCAAGTCTACATCAACATGACCTAACAACTCGACATTCTTTCCATCAAAACACAAGGTATTAGAAACGATACCTTTCAAATACCTCAATATCCATTTCACAACTTCCCAATGTTGTTTCCTTGGATCTCCCATGAATCTGCTCACTACTCCCACTGTATGTGCAATGTCTGTCCTCGTGCACATCATAGGGTATATAATACTACCAATTGCCTAGGCGTATGGTATATTTTGCATTTGAGCACGCTCCTCCTCGTTCTTTGGGCGAATCTTCCTTGCTAAGCTTGAAGTGACTATCCAATGGTACATTTGTTGGCTTTGCATCTTGCATTCTGAATCTTTCCAAGACTTTTTGAATGTATTCGGTTTGTGAAAGAAACAGTTTGCCCACTGCCTCATCTCTCTCGATTCGCATGCCCAAAATCTGTTTCGCCTCTCCAAGATCTTTCATGGAAAAACGTTATGACAACTGATTCCTTAACTTCTCAATTTCATTTGAACTAGCTCCTGCAATTAACATATCATCTACATATAACAGCAAGATAAGATAACAATTGTCAGTCTTTTGTAGTAGCAGCAATTGTCGGTGTGGCATCTCAAGAAATTTATTTCGCGCATGAAACCATCAAATTTCTTGTACCACTGCTTTGGTGTTTGCTTCAACCCGTACAAGCTCTTCTCTAGCCTACACACAAGATTTTCACTATCTTTTGCCACATAGCCCTCTGGTTGCACCATGTATATCTCATCATTCAAGTCACCATGAAGGAATGTGGTCTTTACATCCATCTGATGCAACAACAAATTCTCTACAGCAACTAAACTCAACACTGACCGAATAGTAGTTAGCTTCACAACAGGAGAGAATATATTAGTGTAATCGATACCATAACGTTGCTCGAATCCCTTCACAACCAGTTTAGCCTTATAGCGTTTGCTACCATCTGCCTCATTCGTGATACGATAGACCCACTTGCAGTGTAAAGCCTTCTTTCATCTCGGAAGCTCAACGAATTTCCAAGTACCATTTGATGTGAGAGACGCCATCTCATCATTGCAAGTTTCCACTTGCGCTTATCATCAACTTGAACTGCCTCTGCATAGCACTCAGGTTCACCACCGTCAGTAAGCAACAAATAGAAATTAGAGGGTGAATACCTATTTGGAGCTCGTTGATCTCTAGTAGGCCTCTGCCTTGGTGGTGTTGATGTCTCTTCATCACTGGCCACCTCTTCATTCTAATCCTTCTTTGTACACATTTTACAATCTCTAGTCAGATCGACGAAATGGGCTTGATGTATAGTCTCTACACCTTAAAGTGTACACTTTTTTTGTACACATTTTGTGTACACCCCTTCAGTTGTCTGTCCAATGCAGCTGCATAAACAATTGCCTAGTTGGACAACAACTAGGGGGTGTGCATAAAATGTGTACAAAAAGGGTGTACAAACAACTTTTTTCTTTTCCTCAATTTCCTAACATACACCAATTTGCTTGATTTTTATTTTATTATTATTATTATAATTAATTTTGAAAGGACGCCAATTTGCTTAATTAATTCGTAAGAATACACCAATCAAATATAAGCCATATTGCTGAGTTATTTCCCAAAGTGGGGTACTTTCTAATCTTATTTTCCAAAAGAGGGTACTTGTAAACTTATTTCTCAAAGAAGGGTATTTTTGCACAGTCATCACACCAGGTCAGCATCCAAGTTAAATTCCATTTCCACGTCATGTTTCCATCATATCAGAAATCCATGTCATCAACTCATCACCTATACGGCTATACTAAATCATACAGAGTATAAAAATATTACTCCATTTGTAGAAAATAATAACGCCTGCGGGAATGGAACCCACACCCTCTCTTCTACCATTTCAATTTGTTCACCACTGCATCACAGCCATGCTTCGTTGTGCATACATATTTACGTTTACTTATATAAGTCATATTCACGTTTAGTTATAATAATAATACTAACAGAAATCCTAGTAATAATTATAATTATAATAATAAACTTTACCTCCGTCCCAATTATTAATAATAATAACATTCTTATTCTTATTCTTATTCTTATTCTTATTCTTATTCTTATTCTTATTCTTATTCTTATTCTTATTCTTATTCTTATTATTCTTATTATTATTATTATTGCTATTACTATTACTATTATTATTACTATTACTATTCTTATTATTATTCTTATTATTATTATTATTATTATTATTATTATTATTATTATTATTACTATTATTATTACTATAGTTATATTCTTTCGCCCCAAATTGAATTGCAAATTTAATTTTTTCTAGATCAAACCGTTTCATTTTATTCATTTGATTATGACATAAATTCTTGATTATATTTTAATTTGAATTATATAAATTTATAGAAGTTTTGTTAAGATCCGGGGTTCCATTCTAAAAGTTCAACCTGTTAAGAGGAGTAGCCCAGAGCTTAATATAACACTCATTTCATTCAAACTTTTCCGGTGTGGAACATTTAACAAATTTTAATGTATTTTCTAAATATGTAAATTTTAATTATTAAAATTTTAATTATTTTTTTTCTTTTTTTGGCAAAAAAATGAATTATTTATTAATAGATAGAAATGAACTTTAACATCCATTGATAATAATGTTAACTTAGAAAAAAATTGGAACGGAGGTAGATTTTGCATTGTCATTTACTTATATTGAAATTAGGTTCTATACATAATAAGAACCGTAATAGCAATTGAAATGACAACTCATTATTGCGGTGGAGTGGTTTGCAACACGGAAGGGAATTGATGATTGAGCCTGGGTTCGATTCCCCCACAATCCTCAATTTTGTTGTTATTTTTATACCTCGTACGACCTTAGTATATAAGGTGATGTGGAATTGAAATTTAATTTGGGTGTTGACATGGCACGATGACTGAGCACAAGTACCCTTGTTTGGGAAATAAGTTTACAAGTACCTGTTTCGGAAAATAACATTATAAAGTACCCCTCTTCGGGAAAAAAACTCCCATATTGCTTAATTAATTGGTAAGAATATCTCAGCCTAGTCTTAGCTTGGGGGACCTTGCCAGCGACTGTCGACTGAAATCATTGACGCGGCGAAGGAAGCAGCGCTATACAGCTGCAGCGATTCAGCGAAGGGCGGAACGGAGAAGGGAAAGGGCCGAAGGCTTCTACCGGGCTACTTGTTCTACGAATGTGCGACCACTACGTCGGACAGAGCAACGAAGGGCTATAAAGGTTAGTCACTTGGCCTTTTGTTTTTTGAGTTTGACATGATTACGTTCTTATACTCTTGTATTTTATCTTCTTCTGTTTTATGGGTTTTAAGGGTTTATTCTGTCAATTGGAATTCTTTGATTATTTCAGTTTGGAATTTTGCATCTGAATTGTTTAAGCAAATTTTAATTGAGAATGTTAGTTTTGTAAATTAGGTCATCATTATTTATTACGAATTTAGAATGTTATTTTAGAATGATTTTTATTACCTGGTATATTTACCTTAATCAGTATGGAATGAAAAGTTTGCCCAAAAAAAAGCATGGTATCAAAAGTGTAGTATACCATTCCGAACCACTCCTACCCATAAGTCAATCAAGCACGTAAAAAAAATAACTTCATCTTTTCCTAGTTAAGGAATTCCCTTTGCATTAATTTCCAGGATTTCTGCAACTCCTTGCTGGACGAACGCTCATCAGGTCCAATTTAAATCTATGTATCCTTATTTTTTGTCCATCTCGAGAAGCATGATGAATGAATCAAATGGATATAAGTGTGGTTTTGTTTGTGCTTTGATTTTCTTTCGTGGGTTTATTGATTGCTTGATTTTCTGATTAAACCTGTTTTTGAAGTGGAAGTGTGTGTCAATGGCTAAGGCTTCAAGGCTCAAACCAGCAACTGTGTACCTCTACATTCCCAACATTATTGGTGAGTTTCTAAACTACTGATTGCTTTTGAAAGTGGACGAAGTTTACTGGATGAAATGACCAGTGTGTGAAGTACATCTGTGGGTGTTTGATTGCCTGTACGGATCGTTTGAATAGATTTTTAAAATACATAAAAACTCTATTTGGACAATTAGAATCTGCTGGGTCCGTAAAGAATCAAATATATCTAGTTCATTCTCTAATAACCGTTCGCTGAGGCTAAACTTTTACAGAGAGGGGCAAAATTGCATAGATTGTGACTGAGATTGTTGAATGAGCTGATTATGTAGAAGTATATTAGAAATGTGTTTTAATAAATTGAATGACATACATATATATTATATATAACTGATGAGTGTCAAGGTGTAATTTGAGTCATTTTTGTGAATAAACAGCTTGCCCTATCTTTGTATTATTATAGGCACATTCTTAAAATGCATTCATATAAGTGTTTGGCTAGATGTGGTTTACATACATGGTTTATAAGGAAAGTATAATGTGCCGTGAAACGGGAACTTTGACAAATTCATAGGACATTTGATTCTTGTTTTTCTTTTGTATTTGTTACTCCTGTGTAGTGAAACTAATGCAGATGTGGTTAAGTAACTAAGTGTGATACTTTAGACTCTTATATTTATTAATTTTATATTATCTATTAAAAATTGCACTCTAATTAATGAAGTACTGTTTATGCTGGAATGTTCTCCTGTACAGGTTACATGAGAATTTTAATGAACTGTTGTGCTTTTGCAATATGCTTCACCAACAAAAGGCTTTTCTCAATCTTATATTTTGCTAGGTAAGTCCTATCTCCTCTTATTTGCATGAAAAGAGTATATACATATACTCTGGATTAGATATAGTGGGATTAACAAATGACAGAACATGCAATTTCAGCTTTGTATGTGATGCTTTGGATGGTTGGTTTGCTAGGAAATTCAACCAAGGTATGCATTTACACCATTTCCTCAGTTTCATGGGACAGGTTGAATAGCTAGTTGTCAATTGACTTTCAAACTCAATCTTCCAGAACTTTGAGTCGGTGAACTCAATATTCTATAATTTCTGGATTGATGAATAATGAATGTCATAACTTTATCACACTATAATAGCTTTGTTAAACCCTTGCTACATTTTATTTTTCCTTTTCCAACCACATAGAATGCCTAGAAATTTGATGTGTTCCCTACTTGTCTTTCTGTATGCACCACACCTGTTTCATTTTACGTTGCCTTTTCCAACTACAAAGAATGCTTAGAAATATTATGTGGTCCGTAATTGTCTTTCTGTATGCACCATGCTAATGCATATGATTTAAATAGGGCATAACTTATACAACTGTAATGACCAAGTCTTAATCCCAACAGAATGGGGCCAGCAACATGAATCAATAGTAACCTTAGTGAGGTCATCCATTGAAGTCCTCATTTCCATCCGTAGTGAGGTTTTCTTCATTGACATTCGTTCAACTTGTTCCGAATAGTCGAGGTGCCAATGGCGGTTTGTGTATTGCTTAGTTAAGTTGGTTGTAAGATTACATAAGCCTCATTGCGTAATGAGATGTAAACCACATTTCTTTATACAAATTTATATAAAATATCACAAGTAATATTAAATTTCATTAAATAATATACGTAGTAATAAAACAATCATTAATTAAAATTTGTAGTCAAAATAAAAAAATGGTCTTAATCCATCAAAACAACAAGTTCATACATCACATGGTAGCAAATATTGCCTAATCCTGTTAAAAATTAAAGTTCATTAGATTATGGAATGAAAAATAGGATCATCAATATCTAGTGATTCAAATTTCGAAATATAGAAGCTAACATCATGTCCATCATCAACATTACCATCACCGTCATCATCAACATCCATTATTAAGCAGAAAAAGACAACTTGTTGAAGAGAAGCGAATTCACATGATCACACCATGTGCATATCATACTAACATTAAACAAAATATAAATAATTAAAATATACATAAATGGGAAAATAAATACTTAAAAGAGTACCTTAGAGACGAGAACTAGATAAAAGAGAATGAAGAGTTGAGAAGAGGAGTCGTACTAGACTCACAAAGAAAGATGATTGTCGAAGAAGAGAAGTAAATATTCAAGAGAAGTTCAAAAGAAAAATGTGTTACTTATTAAGGTGGGCACAACTGATTTAATTAAACCCTGAAAAAGCAATTGTGTGCACCTCAATCCTACCTCATTACTTTTGGGTTGAGGCATACTTTTTTAATTTGGGAGTCACCTTAGTGCGTAATTTCCCTAAATGTCGCTGAGGAGCTAAGGTTCAAAGGCTTTGCACAATTACGAAAACTGGGTGCCACTTGTGCCTTTGCCTTGTTTCACACATGATCAGTGTTTTCATAATTTGCTTTGTTCACCTAGAGGTTAGAATTATCATATCAATTTGATCCATCTTTGGACATTTTCTTTGTCCTGGTTCTGATAGCGCTTCTTTTAACAATAAAATGAACCACAAACTTATTAATACAAATAGTTGTCATTTTCTTCTTAAGTGCATGCAATTAGGGCTACTTCCTTAATACTCCCTCCGTCCCCTTTTAAATGGGACGGGAGATGGTGGCACGAGTTTTAAGAAAAGTGAGTTTGTGTGGTTGATATTAATTGATAAAGTAAGAATAAAGTAAGAATGATTTTGAGCCACACAAAGTTTACCAAATAAGGTATGGAGCAATTAAATAGGGACATCCCAATATGGTAAAACGGGACATTTAAAAGGGGACGGAGGGAGTATCTTTTATATTGCATATATGAAGGGGTGAAAAGTAAATGGTTTTCTTTTGATTCTTATCAGCTTGAAACTCTTTAAAAAGGTTAAACTTCCAATTATCAGAAGTGCTTTAATCTCCTTGTTGTCATCTTTTAGTTTTTGATAATATCTTTCTTTGTTCAGTTTCAACATTTGGAGCTGTTCTGGACATGGTGACAGATAGGTTTGCCTCTAAAACTTATTAGTCTTTTTCAAATGTCTATTTATATCATTGTAACTTTGATTGAGGAAATTTCATAAAGAGGGCTAAAAATATACACATTCTTTAGACAGGACTGTTTTCCTAAAAACAGAACTCATTTACCCCTAGAAAAACAATTAGTACTACTTTCCTTTTTAGATCACATTGAACCCTATTTTGACACAAAAAGAAAAAAGAATGATCCTACTCATCTTCATGACTCCTGTTTTAATTCTATTTAACATTTATTAACCATATTTTGTTTTCTTGATTTTATTTCCATTTTTGGTTGCTTATCCTCATATCTTATAGGATCAGCACTGCTTGCCTCCTCGTGATTCTTTCGCAAGTTTATAGGTGATTTCTTTGAGCAATTACTATAACGGATTCTTACTTACTACTGCTTCTATGTATATGCATCTTTTTTTTTTCTGACTGAGATTCTTCAGGCCTGGCTTGATTTTCTTGTCTTTGCTCGCTTTAGATATTGGAAGCCACTGGTTGCAAATGTATAGGTAAATATATCCAATCCAAACAATTTGCATTGCAATTTACAAACCCATAACTTCCTCTACGGGCTCCGCCACAAAGAAAGATAATTTTCCGTGTTTGTGTTGCAACCATGAGTCTTTTTTATTGGGGGAGGGGAGTTCCTGAATCCTGAAAACATGGTGCTAAAATTTTTTACCATTGGCTTTTTCCACTGCAGCTCCTTCTTGGCTGGGAAAACAAGCCATAAAGATGTGAAGGACAGCAGTAGTTGGCTATTCAGGACATACTACGGGAATAGAAAGTTTATGGCTTATTGTTGTATATCCTGTGAGGTAAATGCATTTCTATGACATATACCATGAAAGTTTGTGCAAGTGAATGTTTCTTTCAACTACTGTACTGATTTTCTTTGTATTTTATTTGTAGGTTCTTTACATCCTCTTATTTCTTTTGGCAGAGAACCAAACTGAAAGTTTGAACGATGTGAGCCACAAAACTGCTTTATGCTACTCCTCACACCCCCACCCCAATTAAAAAGGAATAGTCCTTCTTCATTTTTTCCCCCTGGACAAGCAACATTTGACAAATAAGTAGTTTGCCCAAAAACCCTGTGTATAGGTTACATTTACTCCATTCGTCCCGTAAAACTTGGCCAAAATTGACTTTCATGTGGACTAAGAAAGTAAAAATAGTGTGGACGTGTGGTTGAGGTTAACCACGAATTGTTACTTCAGAAGGAAATGACAGTTTTTGGGATGTTGAAAAAATTTAGTGGGACAGAGGAAGTATAAACTTAATTAAAATCAACAAATAAATTTTCAAAGTAGGCTTAATTCACAGATGGACCTCACTAGTGTTAATAGTTGTAACTTGATCAATCATCACCATTCATCATCACCATTACCCTAGTGTCGCAAAGGCTTATTAACTTGATCAATAAGATAATAATTTATTTTTGGACTGTAATATCTTTTCTCTTTCTTTATACTGGTCTTGTTGTCTCCTATGAAACACAGAATTTTCCACTTCCCTATTCTTATTGGCCCTCTTTTTCTTTAGGTTCTTATCAATTCTGCAATGAAAAGCTGGCTCTACTTTTCACTGCTTTCCTTGCTTCTCTTTGGTTGGGCAACTAAGCAGTTCATCAATTTTATACAGGTATTCGAGAACCTTTATTGCCTCAAAATAGGTTTGTGTCAATGGTTCATATTAATAATGCAGCCTCAAAATTGATGGAGTGGTTCACTTCTTAATCTGCAGCACAGATTCTAAAGTGCAACATTAATGTGGGTGGGAAGGGGTATATCTGCCCCCCATGAATCATGATAACTCAAAATTGCAATGGTTTTTAAATGTAAAATTTTATTATATACTGCCTCCGTCCCGGTGGACTTTGCCAAGTTCAAAGTGGGTGAGAAATAAAAAAAGTAAAAACTGTGTGGTTGATGTTTGTGCAGAGGAGAGAGAATTGAGCAGAACCACAAATTAGTTTCTTTAATAGGAAAGTGACAAAGTTTTTTGGGACAACTAAAAAGGGAAAGTTGGCAAAAAGGGAAAGTTGGCAAAGTCCAATGGGATGGATGGAGTATGATATAATTTTGCGGTGATTAAAAACATAATAACCTTTATGTCTAACATTTTTAATGGAGAATGTTTTTGAAGAAAATTTGAGCTTTTAAAAGGAAAAATATAAGTCCTCATGAACACCCCCAAATTGGAGTCTGTAGTTCCTTCACCCAATCACCCCCACCCCTCAACCAGATGCACAACACCCTACTTCCCCTCCCTTCCATCACAACACTCATGCAAACAGAAAATTGTTATTTGATAGCATGTACGAGAAAGTATCAAGTTGGAAGAGGAAGCTGTTAGTTTGTTGATTTAGAGCCCGTTTGGTAATACTCAACCGGGCTGTTTATGGTGAAATTTATGAAGTTTTGGTTGAAGTGGCTGAATTGACTCATTCTAATGATTTATGAAAAAATTATATTTAAAATATATTTTATTAATAAAATAAAGAAAAAATTATATGAAAAACAGCTAAAATAATCCTCTACAGTAACTTCAGCCAATACAGCCAGAAAAGTAACTCCAACCTTACTCTTTCTTATTATTTCACAATTCAGCGCACGAAATCAAAAGTTACGTGTTTGGTGAAAAAGTTGGCTTATAAGCCGAAAAATAGGGTCACCAAACGAGCTCTTAATCAACAAGTTATTTGAATATCTATTATAAAATGACCCAACTTCACAATTAGACACACGAGAATGGGATGAAAACAATTGCTCGTTCATGTGGGAAGGATTGGATTAAACAATTTTATCTTATCTAAGTGTGTTTGTAGAAGTATCGTTTCTCTTCATTAGATTCATTTCAGGTAAAAGTAGTGCTCTAATTTTTTAGTCCATTTGGTGGTGAAGCAAATTTTGCTGAGATTCTTTCATTTGTTGACATGTATTAAAATTGTGTTATAAAGAAGGTGATAAGCCAAGCAATTGTGTCATCAAACCAGCACTAAGTAAATTCACTGATGTAATTTGGTACACGCAAAATAATTTTATTCCTTAAGCATATTGCTATTTCACCAACTTAAATGCTAAATGAATTTGTGGTATGTTTCAGATAAAGACGGCTGCAGATGCATGTGTGCAGTATGACATTGCGAAGCAGCAATAGCAGGGTACCTCCTAATGCAATGTTTATTTAGATGGTAACACCCAATTCAATTTTAGAGGTTCTCTTTGTCATTTCTCGCTTCTTTGAACAGAAAAGCCGACGCTTGACTAAGAAACGGTTCTTCTCTTTTTGATCATTTGATGGATTAGCCTACAGCCTGGGCACATCATCAATTTTTCTCTGGTCTGAGTTTTCACACAATTGGAGACTTGTACATTACTAACTGTTTTCCTGGACAATCTTATGTTACATTTGAGTTGTCTCGATTTGATGTTTTTTAATTGCTTGCTTTAAGAAAATACGTTTGGCAGGAAACTGGGTTTCCTTCATTCTTTGCAGTTTAACTTGCTCTGCCAAGCCATTATCATTGATCAATTTTATTAATCATTTTGATGTTTGAATATACTTTCTCTGTTCATATATAATTGCAATAATTTGAATTTCACTGTGAACTTGATTGATAATTGGTAAAAATTATTTAAAAAATCATATTTTGAAATTGTACTTTGAGGCAAGTTTTACAATGTCTTGATATTATAAAATTTAACCCACGTCTTGCGCTTTGCTTTGTCCATTACTTGTTAAACTTTCCACTCTGCTACTGCGATCAAATTCTGCACTAGTAATAATTAATTGTACACATAAACTAAAACTTATTTAACTTAAAACATGTGAATACAACACTTTACACTACTACTACTACTGCATGTTAGCACAAATATACTTATAAGTTAAAACATGCACCATTAACTCGTTGAATGGTTTCAGCAGTAAAAACATTTGTACAACCTATAGCCAAAAAGTCCAATTTTTTGAAGCAGTGACTTTTTGTAATTTAAGAGAAAAATGGTGGTTTTCGCTAAATGAGCATTAGTGTATTTTTAGTGAGCATTTGACCTATTCTACTGATTATTAAGAGCCTAATAATGAGCATCACGATCTCTGCTTCATATCTTCTCATTAACTTTCTTTTTCTTTTATAAAAACTTATTAAATTATATCTATAATCCACTCTTATAAATTTCAAAATATGAATTTAATGTAATATGCTACTTTTGAATAGGGATGGCCTCGGGCCGGTTCGGGCCTGGGCCTCGGATAGGATACCCCCCGGGTAGACTATCCATTAGTTAGCAAATTAAATTTATCTTATAATACCTAAAAGCACTACATATGAGAGAGAAATTTCTGTTTTGTGGCTTTAGTTTTTAGTTTGGGAGGAAGCAAGCTAGGCATGGACCCGGTTCGGGCCGCCCGGCCCGCCACTGTGCGAGCCCGGAACCGGCCCGGTTCTCGGGTCCGGGTCCGGGTCGGGCCTAGGCCCGGTGGGGTGGGCGGGTCCGGGCTCGGGCCTTGTATTTGGCGAACCGGCCCGGCCGGGTCGGGCCCGGGCCCGGGCCGAAATGATTTTTTTTTAATTTTTTTTTCTTTTTTTGGGGTTAGCCAAGTTGGGCTTGATGGTTAGGAGGGGTTTGGGGGGGTGTGGGGGTGAGTGGGGGGGTTAGGAAAGCAAAAAAAAAAAAAATTATAACCGAACCGGAGGCCCGGCCCGGCCCGGCCCGGACCCGGCCCGGCCCGGACCCGGCCCGGACCCGGTGGCTACCCGGGCCGGTCCCGGGCCTTCCTTCCCAAAAAAAAAGCCCGGCCGGGCCCGGCCCGGAACCGGAACCGGCCCGGCCCGGGTCCATGACTAAAGCAAGCAGGCTAATTTGGCTGATAATAGCTTTGTATCTCTCGCATGATCAACGATTAGTCTTGCTCATTATTGGACAATCTATTCTATGCCTGATCAGAGAGTGAGGTGACCTATTGGCTATGAGGACATTGAGCAGTCTAGAGGAAATGTTTGGGTAGCCAGAATGTAGGATGTTTGGTTGTTTAATTTTTGAATTTAAAACTCCCTCCGTATTTATATGTTCTCTACAATAGCTTTTGGCACAATGTTTTAGGAGAAAATAATATGAGTAATGAATAATGTAGAAAAAGTAGGAGAGAAGGTGGAAAAGTACGAAAGAAAAGATAAAAAGTACTACCTCCGTCCCACTATGTTTGGGACAAAGGAGTGTGACACAAATTTTAAGAAAAAGTGGAATTGTGTGGTTGGTGTTGAATTGATAAAGTGTGAATAAAGTAAGAATGAATTGTAACCACCCAAATATTGCCTAATATGGTATGGGACAAACTTAATGGGACGGACGGAAAAGGTAAAATGGGACAAAGTTAGGGGGACGGAGGGAGTAGAAAATTAAGGGTAGTTGAGTATTTTTAAAGGAAAAACATACAAAAAAGGGGAAGTGTAGTAAACTTTTAAATACATCCCAAAAAAGAAAGTGTAGCAAATTTTAAAATACGGAGGGAGTATAAGAGTTTTCCAGCAAAAAAATTAATTTTTAGTTTTATACTCCGTATTAAAGTAACTATAAGGAAGAATTGAACCTCTCCGATATATAGATATTTGTAAATAAAAAACAAATGAAATTGTCTATGAACTTTTATAGTGACTTTGATATAATTTTAAACATAATTATAGTAACTAAATGTCACGCCCCAGACCGCAATCCAAGCGCGTGTACAACCGCCGCATAATCAAGTGACGTCACCCGCGAGTCAACCTCACTTGATTACACAAGGCGTTCGAGAAAATAATCCATCCATACTCAGTAGTAAACATACATAACAACATCACATTTAAACCAATGAATAGCGGAAATATTCAACGGTAAGTCATAAGCCACAACCGGCCAATAACATGGGCATGCAAGCCCCAAAAGAATAGTTTATGACAAATAAAAATATCCATGAGCAATGTTTGGTAATTTGAAATAAAATGAGGAAGCACAAACCACGTCTTCCTTGATTGATGTCACCCGTAGAAAGGTGCAGGTAGCAAGCCCTAGCTTCAACCTGAAAATGGTGGGCCCCCCCGAAGGGGTCAGTACAAGTACCGAGCGAGTAGCAGGCTAAATATAGAATAACTAGCGTTTCAAGTATAAGACCCAAACATAGGATGATACATATACGTATAGTCCTTCCCCCAAGTTTGAAATACATATTAGTATACATACACTTGGAAATACCCGACCCGTAGGTCATTGTTTATTTGGGAAAATAATAGTAGCCAATATCCTTGACTTAAATCCCAACCCACCCATATACCTATGAGTGTATAGAACTCCTCCTTGGTCAAATAAATTATCATAAGGACACCGCCCGGTCCTAGATCATTAAATGTAATCTATGAGTTTTGAGGATACACGCCCGATCCTTGGGTACTCCACCCTATAATTGAGTTTTGAGGATAACCGCCCGATCCTTGGGTACTCCACCCTATATAACCGAGTTTTGAGGATAACCGCCCGATCCTTGGGTACTCCACCCTATATAACCGAGTTTTGAGGATAACCGCCCGATCCTTGGGTACTCCACCCTATATAACCGAGTTTTGAGGATAACCGCCCGATCCTTGGGTACTCCACCCGACCTATGACTTACCACATATCACGCTAGATAGGGTCTATATCATATTTAGTCATTCATAACTAATTCACTACATAAAGCTTATGTATCACAATCCATGCAAATCCATGCAACCATATAAATGTATAATTAACTAATATCAACCGATATTAATTAATCCATTTACCATCGGTCAACGTTGTTGTTGACCGCCATCTCAAGTCTTACACTTATTACCTAATTCATCATATACTTAAGTTAATAATATCCATTGTGCTTCTTTTACTCTTAAAGCAAATATGCATTATATATAATTTCTCATATCATATTTCATGCATAAACAATTATTCTTTTCATACGCACTTAACTATGTTGGCTAATCACATGTTTAAATATCTTTTAAACATCATTATGAACACATATAACATTCATTTAGGTAATCTCATAATTGACCCAAAAGTTATAAGATATTAAGCCGTCCACTCACCTTGAACTAGCGTTAAGAAGTTCTACCCTTCTTGGTTGAACTCCGGTGAAACTCCGGCGACTTTTGGTCAACTCCGGCGACAATTACGGCGACTTTTCCAACTTTGTGAAATCACTTGAAATACCCTTTACAAGTGCCTAACAAGGTTTTATAATCATAAAACCCATGTTAATACAAATAACCTCAAAAAGGTTATTTTCCGGTGAACCGGTTATTTTGGCTCCTAAGTCCGTTCTTGGACGTAGAACCACCTTCCAACCCATGAATCCATACTTATAACATATGGAACCATACTAAAGGTTCTTCATATGATATATACTTCATATGGTGGAGGAAAAACAAAGGAAAAGTTAATATAAGGTCATTACCTTAATTGTTCACACTCTTCCCAACTTTTTTTCCTCTTTAATCTTCTTCCTTTGAGCACTAAAGCTTGAGCTCAAATTTGCAGCAATGGAGGTGAGTTTGAAGCTCCTTCTCTCCTCCTTGGATGGTGTGGTCGAGCTAATGGGGTGAGGGGGGTTGGAGTTGGCTCTTTTGTCTTGCTTGGACAATGAGTGAGGGAGAATGGGCCCATGAGTGTACCTTTGATGCTCATCACCTCACACTCTCCCCTTACAAGTCAACCAGCCCTCTTTCCTTGCCCATCCCAGCTCACAAAAACGTGGGGTGGCCCCCACTCATGTGGGAGGTCATCCCTTTGTGTCCCGATGTGTACAATCGGTCCCGAAAGTTGTATTTTTTCGGACTGTTTTAAATATATTTTATTTTATCGGGTCAAATAAAATATATCATGTGCTCTTACTCGTTATGACATGTATAATGAATATACATTCCCCAACTTTAATTTATAAGCCCCCGAAATTCAGTTCGGGCTGTTATCTGTTAAATTACCAGTACCGGTAATTTGGGCTTCTTTTGACCAATCGGTCAACTCCGGGCCTTTCCATGGCCCAAATGAAATATCCACCACTATATATTTATTATCTAGACCGAGATGGATAAAATATATGGTCTCGGAAATGTCGGGCGGCCCCCCGCTCCCGATGTGGGTCCCACGTGCAATTTACTATCCACGCGAAAGAATAAATAAAAATTTACAACTTCGTAAATTCATAAATCATTCCATAATAAGGTTTATTACATCATTTACGTAAAAGTAAATACATTTGGGGACGGTGTTACAAGTTCACCCCCCCTTATTTGGGATTTCGTCCCCGAAATCCAAGTATCTAATCGAAAAGAAATGGGTATTGCTCCCTCATGGAGACCTCGGTCTCCCAAGTTTCTTCTTCGACTCGATCACTCCTCCAAAGGACCTTTACCATAGGAATCTCCTTATTCCTAAGCTTATTCACCTGTTGACCAACAATCTTCACTGGTTCCACCGCATATTGCAAGTCCTCACAGATCTCTACCGGTGGTCTCTCAAGAATATGAGATGGGTCTCGTATGTACTTCTTGAGCATTGACACATGAAACACGTCATGTATCTTCTCAAGTTCAGG